ACGCACCTTCCTCGCAAGGAAAACGTAGAAACTCCTGAAAAGTTCCTCCAGGCTGGCTCTGCCACCCGGCTCTGATGTTTTAGGGGCAGGGAGAGCTGTCGGATCATGGTTTGCTTCCCAACAAGCGCCACATTGTGCGCTGCCTGGATGGAGCCGGGTTGCGCGGGGTCTGAATTCCTCGCGGGCGCCTCTGCAGCTGGGAGGGTCCGGGGCGACGCGCTCTGCACCAGTGCAGGATCAGCCCCGGGTTTGTCTGGGCTCGGGCGGGCTCAGCCCCGGTCATGCCGTTACATCGCACCGTGCCCCATGACGGCTTTTTTTTTAATCAACCTGAATAAATAAGCTGCCAGCCAGCTGGCCTCTTCGCACTGCATGGGAGAGAGTCCAGGCGGGGCAGCGCCGTCTCCTGGGGTGGATTTACAGCAGTAGGTGGTATTTTCATTTGATTTTCTCTCGATAGCCTAATTAGCCTCAGCTGTGAGGGCAGAACGGCCTCGTTCCGCTCTGCCTGGGGGTCTTGCCTGCCCTCTACCAGGTTTTCCCATGTTTCCAGGGACCCTCACTCATTTCTCCTTCCTTTTCCACTCCGGTTTTGCTGCTGCAGAGGATGCTCCCGGGGAGCATGGGGAGGTGGTCAGCACCATTTCCAGCAGCATGAACCCGCTGCAGCCGCCGGACGCCTCTTCCGAGGAACCTTTCACCACTTACTTCGACAGCAAGATCCCGATTCCCGAGGATGAAACGGTGAGTGCGGCCAGGCCCTCCTCCGCTCGCTCCTCTAGGAAAATCCGAGTGGAAAGATCTGCGAGGCGCCCGGTCCCCACATGAGTCATTCCCTTGGCTCCCAGTTCCCCTCCATGCCTGGACAGGGCTCCGGGCTGTGGGACGGGGACTAGGGAGGGGAGGGTGCAGGGTCTCCTGTGCCTGCTGGGGGTTAATGATTCCTCTCTTGGAATTTTTTCTCTTGGGGAGCCACAAGTTCAGCTAAAGAGCAGAGAAGAGTCTTGTTTGCAGCCGCAGGGGAGGGGACCTTGGTTCTTTGTTCCCTTATCAAGGAGCAGGAGCACGGGTGCCTCCTCGCTGGCCTTTGCACCAGCATCATCCCCTTGCAGGGGGGAGAGGTGCTGCAGGGGGGAGAGGTGCCCTCTTTGCTCTTGATAAGCACCGAGGCGGCGTTTGCTGCTGCAGGCGCAGGAGGATCCATCCCCCACCCGGGTTTCCAGGAGCGTGTCCTTGGCTGTGCCAGAGTTGGGTCCTAAACTCGTTAAATTGGGACCAGGTGTGGCTGGAGAGTTTAGGGTCAGACAAAAGAACACGTGTGATCTTGCCCAGCGCCGCTTTCTATTGTGGCAGGGAGGAAAGGAATTAATTCAAACCGAACCCTGGGCGTGTCCGGCTGTTTTTTATGCCCGATAGCTGGGGTGGTTCGTGGGGACGACACGTCCCCTGCGTTCGGAGAGGGCTCTGCTACCAGGCTGGCTTCTGATGCCTCCGTCCTCTCTCCCCTCCCGCAGCACTCGTGCTTCAGTTTCCGCAAGCTCTGGGCTTTCACGGGGCCGGGCTTTCTGATGAGCATCGCCTACCTGGACCCGGGCAACATCGAGTCAGATTTACAGTCCGGGGCTGTTGCAGGATTTAAGGTCAGTGCAGAAACCTACAGATGAAACGCTCGGAGTCGTGCTCCCCACGTACCCCTCTGCTGCCGCACGTTTTAGAGCAGGAGCGCTGAAAATGCCACTGGCGAGCTGGAAACAGCCCAGAGCAGGAGAAGGGGAATGGGTGAGCGGGGTCCTCCCCCCTCCAGCCATGCCTCCTGTGCCAGCTCCGGGCACACAGAACAGCCTCCGAGCATCAATAACGTGCATTTTAAAGAGCCTGGGATTCCTGGGGCCACGTGTGGGGTGCGGACATCCTCGGGGACCCTCAGCCTTGTTCACAGCCGTCATTTCTTGCTGCTCAGCGCACCCACTCCTGCCTTCGTGTCTCCCGCAGCTGCTCTGGGTCCTGATGCTGGCGACGATCATCGGGCTGCTCCTGCAGCGGCTGGGGGGACGTGGTGACAGGGCTGCACCTCGCCGAGGTCTGCAACCGCCAGTACCAGAAGGTGGGTGATCCCCTGCTCTTCGGCTCTTCTGACAGTCCCACGGGCCGAGGTCGGGGTCGTTCCCTCACCGGGGGCTCGCAGGTCTCACAGGGGGACCCGTTCAGCGCCGAATCCCCGTCTTTGGAAAGTCTTTTGTTTGCTAAAATGTATTTTCGGGGTGACATCTTGCTGTACTGTCCAAGAAGCTGCAGGGTGACGTTGATTCCTTCTGGTTTTGGCTCCCAGTTGGAAGAAAGGCAGATTTAAGGGAAGATTTTAGTCGTAGCACCAGCGAAGGGCTCGTTACGACCCCAGGCTGTCAGGAGAGAGATGGGGACACATCGGGTCGCGTCGGTGCTTTCCCCGTCTTGGAAGAACGAGGGCACAGGGAGGGAGGTGGGGTACATGGGGCTCTTCCCAGGGAATTGCAGACAGAGTCAGGAATAAACCCAGGATTTCGGCGTTTCCGTTCGGACTGCTGCCTCCCGCAGCTGAGATGCCCGTCGCTTAGATCAGCTCCAGGATCCCAAGGAGAGAAATGGCCCTTTAGAGCAAGACTGTTCCGTGGCTGTTATATTTCCCTGCTTAAGAAATCTTCACAGCTTATGTAAGAGAGGGCTCAGCGTCCCGCTCAGCTGGGGATGAGTGCGGCCGTCCTTCGGGAGGGGCTGCGGGGACGTCGGGGATGTCCCCAGCTCCCTGCGGGTGTTTCTCATCCGACACCTGAGACTTTGTCATCGCTCTGACCACGTGAAATCTCTCCCCGTGCTCATTTCCAGCGCCTTGGTACACAGACACATCCAGTTTCGCTCTCGCAATGAGCAAAATTTATTGAAGCGAGTAATTTAGATTATATAAGTGACCCAGGAACCTCCTCCCATGATTGCTGCAGGTCACCTGGATTTCTGCTTCAGAGCAGCCGTAACCTGGCGATCGTCAGCGTGTTTCTGCTCCACACCACGGCCAGGGAAAGAAAACCCGAGCGTGCGATCGCCGCAGCCCCGTGCTCATCTGGGGAATGAAAGGGAGAAGGCGTTTTCCCTCTTTTTAATGGTGTCGGGTGTTTCCTTCCCTCTAGGTCCCTCGGATCATCCTGTGGCTGATGGTCGAACTCGCCATCATCGGATCCGACATGCAAGAAGTCATCGGCTCGGCGATCGCTATCAACCTCTTGTCTCTGGGGAAGTAAGTTGGGTTTGTCGTCGGAGGGCAGCAGGAAATGAGTGCTCCCCGCTAGGATTCAGAAAGTGGCACCGTGTGTGCTGGAAACGACTCGTTCATTTCCTATAAATCTGAAACAAGCTCTTTGCAGAGCGTGATTCATCCCAGCCGGGCTCGCTCTTGGAGGTGACTCAGCCTCTGGTGCCCGTTTCTTCGGCTGTCGGAGCTGCGGGTTCTGGTTTTTATTTTAGCTGAAAAACTGACACACACCAAAACTGGGCTGCAGCTTTCCCGGCAGGTTTTATATTCCTCATAAAGCACTGCCAGAAAGATGTCCTCTGCGGCCAGGAAGGTGGAAATGCGAACGTAGCAGGAATTTTGTACCAAGGAGCGATGAAAAGTCCCGCTCCCTCCTGTCGCTCTCAGGGTGGACATGGGATTAGCTCTCAGGGCAGAGCTCTTATCTGATTGTGTGGAAAATAAAACCCACGGCCCCTTGCCCCGTGCAGCCAAACCTCTTGTCAGACTGCAAACAAACCCTTGGGCAGCACGGGTCTGTCCCCAACAAATGCCCGAAATAAAAAGAGATTTTGGCCTCTGGGGTGTTGTGGCTGTGGCCGAGGTTGGGGTGTCTCAGCTGATGTCTGCTCCTGCCCGTCTCCCGCAGGATCCCGCTGTGGGGCGGTGTGCTCATCACCATCGCCGACACCTTCATGTTTCTCTTCCTGGATAAATACGGTAATTTCTCCTCCTGAATTCCCCAAATGAAATCAGAGATTCAGCTTTTCTCCATTCGCTGACGGTCGTTTTCCTTCTCGCAGGCTTGCGAAAGCTGGAGGCGTTCTTCGGGTTCCTCATCACCATCATGGCCCTGACGTTCGGATACGAGGTACCTCCGCCCTCTCTCCCGGCATTTCCACCGGCACTGTCTGCTGACACACTCCCTCTCCCCCACCACCCCAACAGCACCAAACACGGGGACGGACGCTTAGAATGCAGGACCCGTGAGGCTGGGTCTGTGTTTCCGACGCGTGGCCGTGAGCCAGCCCGTTCCCTGGCCGGCAGCAGGGGCTGTACGGACGCCGCTGCTCCTGCGCAGAGACCGGCTCACGCTGTCCAGCGCAGCATCCCGGGTTTATTACACAGCAGCCACCTCGTGGTTCTGCTTTTTACCAAAGCGGACACATTTTGGCTTTTCTTGTCCTCTGACGGGCCGCCCTGGCAGCGTGTGAGTTGCGCCGCAAACACTCGTGTTCCTTTTGTCTCTGTGCCCAGTACATCACCGTCAAACCCAGCCAGCAGAAGCTGCTGCAGGGGCTGTTCGTCCCCTACTGCCAGGGCTGCGGCACGCCGCAGCTGGAGCAAGCCGTGGGCATCGTGGGCGCCGTGATCATGCCGCATAACATGTACCTGCACTCCGCCCTGGTCAAGGTAAGGGCTGCGCCGGCCGATGCGCGCGGGAGGCTGAAAGGCTCCGGCAGCCACAGCCTCTGGTCTCTGCTGTGAGCGTTTGCTGCGGCAGGGCCGTCGCAGACCCCCCGAGGGGCTGGTTGGGTCCCTGGTGCAGGGAGAGCCCTGGGGGCTGTGGGACACATGTCCTTTACGTGGGGACGTGGGACCAGCAGCGTGCACCCGGGGCTGGCACCGCCACACTGGCAGAACCGGCTGTGGCTCCTTCTGCACATGGGGGGGGTTGGCTTTGTCTTCTCTCCGGTGTGTTCTTTTCCCATCCAGTGACCTGCGTCCCACTCTCCGGTGCAGTATAATTATCCAGGTAATATAACAGTGAATTCTCCTTCCTCAATCCTGCTGTTCTCACCATTCCCCTTTCAGTCGCGGCAAGTGAACCGTGCAAACAAGAAGGAAGTCCGAGAAGCTAACAAGTATTTCTTCATCGAGTCCTGCATCGCTCTCTTTGTCTCCTTCATCATCAACATCTTTGTTGTGACCGTCTTTGCCGAGGCTTTCTACGACAAGACGAACGCGGATGTGGTGAGTTGGGGCTGGGGCTTGGCTCCTTGTGGG